GACCAACCCCTGATTAGATGACCATAAGTCCTAGTTAGACACTAAAAGTCATAATCACCAAACCTAAGCCAACCGTAATAACTTACCAACCCCTGATTAGACTTTTAGCACCCTAATCAGACCAAAACTAAGCCTAATAAGACCTAATTTTCTTCTGATCAGACCCTATAAATGCCTAAAACCAACTCCTACAGACTAAACCGACCCCTACAGTCCTCTACTTAGTGATTCTAGACTTAACAACCCCTAAACCAACCCGTTTTAGTCAAATCTCAACTAATCAGACCTAACCGGTCAATGTACCAGACTCTATGACTCAAAACTGGTACTTAGGAGTCATATCTAGTCCTAAACTAGATAATACATAAGTCTACAATCAGATTCTAATCTGATCAGACCTAGACAATGTCTCTATAGACATTCTAAACCTCTAATCAGACCTAACCAAGCCTATTTTGACTTAATTACCTACTGATCAGACCTAAAACACGCTAGACCAACCCAAATTTGGCTTGGCTGATCTTGAGCCGCCATCCAAGCACGAATACCTTCTATCCCAGACCTAACCAAGACCTAAACAACACTTACAGACCTATACCGAATTAAACCAGTCTATTACAGACCTGTACCAGCCTATTTAAGCCTAACCCGACCTCCTACCCAGCTAAACGTAGTCAAATCCAACCTATTCAGACCTATACTAAACAGAAACCCAGAATCTATGACACATTTGCTAAACCGAGATCTAAAACAGGTCTAACCCTAGTGTATTTCACTAAACCAAGCCAAATTGGATACTAGACAGTCCTAACAGGGTAAACCGATCACTACAGATCCTAACATACCCTAAACCAGTCCACTATGCCCTAAACCAGACATATCAGACCTAATTTGGACCAACCTAACCCTAAACCAGTTAGTTCTAGTCCTAATTGTACATCCCGACCCTAAACTGACCTAATCTAGTCCTAAACCACAAATTCAGATCCTAACCCGACCAATACCAGCTCTAACCAGATAAATCAGATCCTAAACAGACCTCTATTAGTCTAAAACCAATCTGATCTTACCTAATTTCGGACCCAATTGACCTATACAGTCTAATTCTAGCCTAATTGGATGAACAGACCCTAAATTAGATCTAAACCAGTCTAAACCAGCCTTAATTCACCTCCAATTAGACCCTATTGGTCTGAACCGAACAATTCTAGCCCTTCCCAGACAAATCAGACCTTAACCAAGCTAAACCAGCCTAAACTAGTCTGAATTGCCCTAAACTGGACTCAATTGACCTGAACCGGACCAAAATTGACCTAAACCGGACTCAATTGTCCTAAACTGGACCTAGATTGACCTGAACCGGTCTAAACCGGTCCAATTGATCCCAAACCGGACCTGAACCGGTCCGATTTGACCTAAACCGGTCAACAGTCAACTATTGACCAAATTGGTCAACGGACTGACCGAACCGGAGTGAATCAGTCTGAACCGGCCGGGACCAGTTTGAGCCGGCCTGAACCGGCCGGAATCCGGTCTGAACCGATGGAACCGGGTTAAACCCGGTCTGACCGCCTAGAACCGGACTTGGATCGAATCGAACCAGATTCGATTGACCCAAACCGGGTTTAACCGAGAATTAGTTCGATTAAACCGGTCTGAACCGGTTTAATCCGAAACCCTAATTTCGGAAAACCCTAGCCGTCGAGTCACCCGAATTGACTCGGTCGTTGACTCACCCGATTCCTCCACTCAAACCCTAACTCGGACGAGTCGGGACCGAGTTTCGCCGGAATCGAGCCTTTCTCCGCCGAGTTCACCGAGTTTCTATGAAACTTGGTCTCAAAATCGGAGAAAACGCAGAAAAATAATGAAACCGAGTCAAGAGACTCACCTGGTTACCGGTTTCGAAAACACGTCTTGGCCGCGTCAGCTCTCTGGGACTCCGGATTCCGAATCTTCCCCGCCGACGACACCACAGACCTCAGATCTCCTTCTTTCGAGTCCCGATCTACCTCCGATCTT